AGAAATGTAACAGAGCAATGATCATCTTTGATGAAGCTGATAAACTTCCTGAACAACTACTTGGTGAGTCGTGGACTCCTTGTGGCTACGTTCTTTACCTCCTATCGTTTCGCCATTCATTGGTGCAGGTTTAACGCGAATAATCATTTATTTAGAAGTTGTGAAGCCCTTCCTCGATTACTATGACACCGTTGGAGGGGTGGATTTCCGCAAAAGCACGTTTTTGTTCCTGAGGTACGTCAGTTTCGCTGGAATGTCCTTTTTTTAGCTCAACGCTCTTTTTATGTGAACCCCTACCTATCTTCTTTACGAGTAGCTCTCTTCGTGGCGTAATCCGCTCACATTCCCACCTATCCGCCTTCCTAAGCGATTTTTAGTGTTGAAATTCAGCTAGCCAAAGAAATTACTTGAACACACATCCGGAGCGACCCTCTTTTGACTCTAGTGTTTCCGTTCATTTCGGTAATTGTTAATGTGTGCACTTTTGATAAATTTCAATTGAGGTAGTTGTTGTAAGCAGCGTTTTCAGCAATCGTGGTGGACAGTTAATCGCAAACTTGGCGCTAAGTCATCACCAATCTGGCAATCCTAGGGAGGATCTGACTTTGGATAATTTCGAGAGGATGCTAATGCAGGCGGCGTATAATGAGCCAGGTACGAACACGTTTGAAATTCTCTCTTGTTTAGGGGATTACGTGACAACTAAAACTTTTGGTGGGGTTCCTGGGCTAATGCCGTTTGGACTCCAAGAATTTCGGCACCGAGCTCATTTTTAAATTGCCTAAGTCACCAAATCCGCTAAAAACTTGTATATAGGGGTAGTTTAACATCCTGATTAAGAATATGACATTCACTCTTGTCGCTGGCGCTAATGGATGACACTACGATTATCTGCGCTCTGCTAAGGCTGAGCCTAGGAGGTGATCGTAGTGTCCTCTCTTGACGCCAGCGACAAAAGTGAATGTCATATTCGTAATCAGGATGTTAAACTACCCCTATATACAAGTTTTTGGCGGATTTGGTGACTTAGGCAATTTACAAATGAGAAATCGG